ATATACATATCTATATATATATATATATATATATAAATTTTATAAATCATATATATATATATATATATATACACATATGAATATATATATGAATGAATGAATTTTATAAATGATATATATATATATGTATGTATGTATAAATTTTATAAATGATATATACAATTATGAATGAATTTTATAAATGATATATATATGTATATATGTATAAATTTTATAAATGATATATATATAATTATGAATGAATTTTATAAATGATATATATATGTATGTATGTATAAATTTTATAAATGATATATATAATTATGAATGAATTTTATAAATGATATATATATATGTATGTATGTATAAATTTTATAAATGATATATATAATTATGAATGAATTTTATAAATGATATATATATATGTATGTATGTATGTATAAATTTTATAAATGATATATATAATTATGAATGAATTTTTTTAAATCATATATAGATAATAGAATTAATTTTATAAATGATAATTATTTTAGGGAATATGTGAGAAAAAGTTAAAGTAGACAGTTGAAATCTTTGGGACACACATTGAGGAAAGATGATTCAGAGAATTTGAAGGCAGCAGAGTCAAAGAGAAACAGCAAGTAACCTGCTTACTGAATTTATATGAATATGAATTTTTTACAAAAACTGATGCTAAACAGTCAAATGTTGCTCAGAGCTACAAAGAATGGGAAGTTGTGAAGAGCAGTGATTGCCCATGCCCTGATGTGTCGCAGCATATAAAATATTAAGTTATAAAAAAATGTTAGTATTTAAATGCTTTTATATTGTTTTTTTTTTTTTAATTTTTCCTTTTTAATGAAGTATAAACAATTAAATATAAATAACTTCCCAGAGGAAAGGGATTGAATTTACTCTGACCTGTAATAATACAAGTCTTAATAATTGAATGAAGGGGTGGAGTCTTTTTCAATATGCAATAGATGGTGGTGTGGACCTTAATAAAAGTGGGGAGAAAGATTAAAAGGTGAGAAATTAATAAATGGTGGGGAGAGTTGTAATTAGCTTCATGGGGTCATAAAATTTCCTAAAAAAACATAAAAAAAAATCTTCATACACTTCTTTTAGGTGCCTAAGAATATGCAAGCAATGAAAGAATAAATGAATGCTAATTGATGTCAAAAGCATTCTGGATAATCACTCTCCATGGGAATTATCCAGAATTGTTGAAATCTATTGTGTTTTTGTTTTACAGACACAGTATCTTCATTCCATGTCTAACCCCTTTGTACAACTTTTTTTCCCAGAGACACAATCACATCATCACTTTGAATTCAGAATTTTCTGTTTCCTAGTCTGGTTGCCAAACATGACAAGAAAGCCTCATCTGCTCTAAAAAATTAAAAAATGTATAAATTAATAAATTGAAGTGATGCTAAGAAAGGATCACAATAAAGTTATCATCTTCCTTTTTTTATTTTGTATTTTAGTTTAGTTTGTTTCATTTCATCCCAAGCAAGACAATGAAGCCACTAAGACACAAGGAACTACTGAGTGTAAGAGAATATGAGAAAGACAACAATAAAAGAACAGAAACTGAGAAAACAGAAAATAAGGATTGACATTGCATTTATATTTTTGAAGACCAAATTTAAATGGAACGCAAGAAACCTGAAGAGACTTCAACAACCAAGAAGTTAGCTTTTAACATAGAACTTAAGGTTATAACCATTTTAAGGGTCTAATCATTTTGACAGTAAGATGATGAAACGTTGCTGCTAATCTAGTCATTTCAGTTATGTGCCATGCGTGATACACGCTTAGGTGATCATGTATCTTTCAATACACGACTAACCAGATTTTTCCCCACAGTAGGTTGCCATTTCTTTCTGCAGCAGAGCAGTTGTCATCCAAGGCTATAGAACCCAATCTATCCTGCTATTTACCCATAGCTGGTGATAGAAGAAGAGGATTCATACCTTTATGCTTAAATTCATAGAGTCTAGGTACCAAACAGGAAAGCTCATCAGAATAATTACCATGAAAATATTTATGGAAAAGTCAAAAGGAAGTGACTGAAGCCTTTATTTATTTATTCTTACTTTCCTGGCCTCATAAAATAATCTATTCTGTAATATAAAACACAATTTGGTGTCATAAATTTTTTGGTCACAGAGTTTGATCTTTCTTATTAATAAGATATTTCATAAGTAGGTATTACTAACTGCCAATAAAAAAATGTTTTTATTATGTTAGTAAGGAGGGATCTCTAGTATATAATGAAGATCAAGCTGCTGATACATTTAAATTTTATTTCTTTTGACATTTTTACTTTTAAGGATTTAAAAAGCAAAATTTTTTTTACATTTGATAACAAAGTTACTGGTATAGATAACTATCTTAACTTACACATGCAGAAAATATAACCAAAACAATTACAAAATTACTTAAATTTTGTTATTATTTTTTGATGGTCTATGTAAATTAACACATTAATATCCAACTTAGCAAAATCTGAACAATGGCGGATTTCAAAAGAATTAATATCTCATTTTTATTATGTGTTTATGGTTTTCTTTTCTTTTGGTAAAAACAGACGGTTAAACAAGCAACAAAATGAAGGAAGAAAAGATAAGAATACTGTTCTTCTTTTATTTCTAATTCCAATAAAAAAGAAATGAGGATAAAATAAATAATATAATTTTTTTCTCTTTTTTTTTTCTTTCTTTTTTAATGTCACCTTTTGGTTTAGTTCTTTTTTAAATCCCCACTCACAGTAACCTTTGCTCCTTTTTCTTTCCATTCACTCTTCCTAATCCATTTTTGTCTGTTTCTCTCTCATTTTCTTTCTGTTTCGTACTTTCACTTTCACTTTATTCCACTTCATGTTTTTCTTTTTTTTCTTCTTCTCTACTATTGTATCTCTTTATTTTCTTCACCTTTCTTTCCTTTTTATTCTTACCTACTCTTCTTTCTTCTATTCCTGCCCTCTTTTCTTTTAATTTTTCTCTTTTTCTTTCTCCTTCTTGCTCTTTCTTCTTTTCTTTCTCTTCTATTAATCTAATATTCTTCTTTTTTTTCTCCTACTCACTTCTTTTCTGCTTTCTTGTGCTTCTTTTGCTTTCTCCCTCTTCCAGATACTTCTCCAGTTCTTCCTTCCTTCTCTCCGCCACTCTTTCTAGTTTTATTTCTCGTCCCTTTGCTATTTCTTTACATTCCTGCTTTTGCTCCTTTTTTTTTTTTTTTTTTAATGTGTTTCTTTCTTTATCTCTGTTCACTCCATTTCATTTCAGGAATCAAATAGGAAGAAAAAAAGAAAATCAATTGCCTTTTTCTCCCACCCAATTCCTGACCCTCCTCCTCCTCCCTGTCCTTTGTGCAGGGGTAGACAAAAGCTTCATGACTGGTAATCTCAGGCACGGCTTTTGTGCACTATCATTTTGAAACAACATGTCATAAAAAGGGAAAAAAAAGACACCATCATCAAACAATAGAAGACAAGAGAAAAAAAGAAAATGGAGAGAGAAAGAAGAAGAGTGCTAGCAGAAGAAATAGTCAAATTGTCCGTACTAGATTATCTCTTATTCTTAACACGACAAGTGAGAATGCAGGGCATCAGTGAAATGGTTGCAACGAGTTGGGCTGATAGAAGCATTTCCTAGAAGCTTAGACAGTTTTCCACAACAGCTGGCCAAAAGCCCTAGCCTATGTGTTAAAAGATAATCTTCCAAACTGATTTCCATGTTTAATGTTTATTTCTTCCTGTCTGTAAAATGGTGGTGGAGATATAGTTTTCATATCTCTCCACACTATCTCGAAAGGGCAAATTGGAAAAGGTGTACGAGAAAAAAGCAAATAAGTAAAGGCGTGAGAGAAAACACATTTGTCGTGAGGGCTGTGAAGGAATTTAACAATTCATTTAACATGACTTAAAAGAAAAGGAAAAATGCTTAACAAATCTTTTAAGCTATTTTCTTTTGTATCATTTTCTGTCTTCTATACTGACTTTAAGTATTTGAAGAATGACTTGAAAACCAAAAACAATTTCTTCAGTCATTTCATGTCATTTTTTTTTTTTCAAAACCAAAAAAATTCAAATGAATGCCTGATTTGTGGGAATGTTGTTTAATGATGATGATAATCATCATTATTATCAGTACAATGCCAGGGTGTGGTCATAGGGTCATAGCACAGACTAATTCCCTCTACATAACTGTGTTGAAAGCCAGATAGATTTTCATTCATGCATAGTGTGTCTTAGACAATGAGACCTGGTGGAGCCCATCACTTCAGATCAAATCACAGCCAATGTCCTCCAATCTGAAGACTTGACTTGGTCACATGGCCATTAATTCCCTTGAAAAAACCCTCCACTCTGAACCCTCCAGTGAAAGATAAAGATTCAATATATATTATAATATACAACAGAATATATATAATAATATATTTATATTATATACGGCACTTTTCACAATGCACAGATACTACACTGATCTTAGGCAGAAGACCAAAAGAGTGATGCTCTGAGTCAAGGAAGAACTCGCAAATAATACTGGTGTAAGGCTAAAGCATTCATTAGGATATAAATAATCTTGTTATATTTGATGGGTACTACATTAGTAAATATATAAGTTATAAACATTAGAAAACTTGTAACTAATTTAAAAACAAATGTCTTCTGTAAGACCTTCTTAAAACACAGACAAGAAATAATGTAATAAAAACAATACAATAAATTAAAACAGACACTAACTGTCCAAATATTTCCTGTGGGACTTCTGTTGAAAGTTTATTTAACATTTGCATTTTTAATTTGATTAAGTGTAATTAAATAAATTATTGCTGAAATTTAATTATTAAATAAAATATGTGTAGCAGTGTGCCCTGCATCATCAGTGAAATATTTACAGACTGCCTGTTGGTAACAGAGATCAGGTTTCAAGTTCAGATAAAAGATAATATTTTGAATTAGGATTTTCTAGGCAAACAGTCTCTCCCAATTTGAACTGATAAACTCAAATCCCTTTCCCGCTCTGTGAAACTGTCTTAATGCTTAGGCTATGAAAGCTAACCATCAGGTGTTATTCAAATATACCTCTCATGGATTTCAATTTTTCATTTTAAAAGAAAAGTTGAATATCAGAAGACTGAGATTAATTTTACAAAATATAAAGAGTTTTAGAGTTGCTGATTTAGAGGATTATCTTGGTTTATTACAATGTCTTTTGCTTAGTATTTCACTTCTAAGATGAGTTATTGTCAATATTCTTGGATTATTTTGAACTATTGTTCTCATCTTGGTTTATATAGATGTTACTATTGACACAACATTTCAACCAAATACCCTCTAGTCATCATCAAGTGAACCTTGATTGGCTGATATGAGATATCTGTTGATTATTGTAATATTTCTTGCCCCTGTGATGTCAGTTATCATTAATTCATGTTGAATTAGTCCTTCACTACATGATTTAAGGATTGAATGCACAGCCACTATATGATAGTACCATATGGATAGCCAACTCAGGAAGGTGTCATAGTGGATTTAGGAGTTGGTTATACATCTTCTAGTGGTCGTGAGTTCAATTCTTGGATCTGGTAATGAAGCCTCAATTCAGCATGAACAAATAATAATTGACATCAAAGGAATAAATTATCACAATAATCAACAAATGTCTCTTATCAGACAATCAAGATTTTTTACTTAATTATAAAAATCAGAAAGTAAACATTAAAATAGGAATCTACTTTCATGAAAAACATATGACTTTTGTGATGTAGGAACAATTTTGATCTTTATTTCTATGGCTAGCTCTTCTTGTTACCTGTGATATAACAGGTGGGGTTTATTAAACAATTCTGTCAAAGTTTTAATTCCTTCTAATGATTACATATATAACAGTATTTATTAAACAAATACATCAAAACTTTTATTTTCTCTAATGACTTCAAAGTTAATAGGCAGGGTTTCATGACACAGAAATTTCTGAATGTAGGGTAAAAAATTGATTATTAAGCAGCAAATTTTACAGTTTTTGACAGAGTTGATTTAAATCCTTTTTTCCTCAAACTAAATGTTGAGTTTTGCGTAAATGAACAAGAAAAGAATAGTCAATAGTCAGGAATAAATAAATAAAAATAAAAAAATTATTAATAACAGATAGAGATGTAAAGCTTAAACAACTGCTATTAGCCTGAAACATGAAATCAGACAGTCAAGTTCAAATTTCTGACTCAACTGTTAAATTCACTTTCACACAAATGCTATTAGAAAAAGCCTGAATCCATCTTTTCCCTATCCTACTGATGCATTAAATAGCATGGTATACTTGGTTTTGTATCCTGATCTGGCAGTCAGTTTAGGAGAAGGATTAATCTGAATTGAAATCCATGGAGAAGGCAATGAAAAACCATTTGACTTTTTCTGCTAACTTACAAGTGAATTTTGACAAGGTAAATATAAATTATTTTTATACAAACATGATGAATTTAAAAAAAAAACTTCATCAGTGGAAAAATTGCTTATATATGGCAGGTTTTAAAATTCTGATTAAGAATAAATAATACAGAAGGAATATTTATTAAAATATGCTTTTACAAATCTTTTTGCAAACTATATGTCACAGCTTATGCCGTAAATGACATTTGTTAATGTATATAAACAAGGTAGGTCCCAAAAGTAGCTGACTATTTTTTACTACCAAAACTAATGCCAAAATCCATTGAGAGGAAGGTGAATGAACCTTTCCTGTACATACTTGAAAATTTTTGTGCTGGTAAGCCATGTCAGTTTCTGACTGTTATGTGTAGAGTACAGACGTGTAGTGTGCACTCATCGAATTTTTTATTTTCATGCAAGATGACCAAATGCATTGAGCCGAGATATTGCATCAAATTTGGCAAAAAGGTTAGTGATACTCAAGCTCAAATCAGATTATGGGGTCATGCAACCACTTCAAACATGGCCACACCACAATAGAGAGTGAGGCACATTCAGGCAGGCCACCTACAAATGGTTCAGTAAATAGTCATGGAAGACTGTTGTGTAACTATCTTGGAATTGGCACACAAAGTGGGAACAAGCACAGCATCAGTGCATTTCATTTTAATGGAGGATTTGTGCATGTGGCAAGTGTAGGCAAAATTTGCTCACATAATCCAAGTTTTCTTGGTCAAGAATAACATAACACTTGTTCAACACGCTCCCTATTCTCTTGGCACCTTGTGACTTTTGGCTCTTCTCCAATCTGAAAACCATGCTGAAAGGGAAGTGATTTCAGTTGCAAGAGGAAATTATCAAAAAAACAATGACAGAGCTCCATAGCATTCCAAAGAAGGCAGTCCAGAGGTATTGCCAGCAATGGCAGAACCACTGAGAGAAATTTGTGAACTCCCAAGGCAAGTCTTTTGAATTATAAAATAAAAAATAAATAAAATCTGCAAAATGTGCAAAACTGATATGTTATGCCCAAAGTTCAGTTACTTTTTGAATGCACCTTGTCTAAAGTTGAGAGTAAAAAAAAAAAAATCATTGATTACATGATAACAATACAGGCTTTTTATTCTACTGATGTAAGGTGGGAAGACTCACATAAAAATGTAAATTTCTGAAAGGTTGTAATAAGATAATGCTATGTATTATATATTATGTATGTCTTCAAAAGATCTTGACAACAAAGGTCTTTTCCTTCATAAGGGTATCTGAGCCTTGCTTTGATTTGAAAATCCTTCATGGCTTAGTGGTCTACAAACGTGGTTTTTCTCTAATGTAAGAAAGATGCAGGTTTGAACCTTGCCAAAGGGCACATTTTCTTTATTTAAGATACTTAAAAACCTATGCTGGTAGATGATTCAAAAATAGAGATGTCTACTCAAACTTATGAAGCTACTAAATATAAAACAATTAAAAGTAGTGAGAAATACTAAGCATATATAAGGAGTGCCTGAAAAGTATAGATACATATCAATCAACAAGAATTAAAACACTGGAAAAGATGAAAACACAACATAAGAGGGGGTATGCAACAGTTCTTGTAACAGCCTTAATATGAAGAGCATCATGTGACATCAAAACAAAGATGAATGCCACCATAAAACAGTGGACAAACATCTAGGTGTGAGTTGTAATAAGAATTTTAAATGCTTAGGGCAAAAATCCAACTTTGGGTCCCAAAGCAAATTAATGAAGAAAATCAGTTCTAGCATATGGACATTTCTTTTCAGCTTTTGAAATGGTGTAGGGAAGCTGGCAGGAAAATTCTGGAGCACATGATCATGGATGATGAAACCTGGGTGTATCATGTTACCTCAGAGACAAAGGTGGATTCCATGACCTGAAAACAGCCATTGTCATTGGCCACCTTCACAACTTTGTTCAGCAGTCAGCTAGGAAATCGATGACAAATG